ATTTGATGCAACGCATTCTCTGTTTTCAGCAATTTAAAGCTCAAATGCTTTTGCAGTTAAAGTGGAAAGATCGAAGACTGTCTTACAAGATGATCGATCCTGCTTTAAAGGAGATTCATACTTCTCATAGAGTCGTGCCTAAAATTTGGACGCCTTACGTGTACCTCACCAATGAAAAAAACTCACTCATCCTTCGATCATCTCATAAAGACGTCCTTGTGTCTTTCTTGCCGGATGGAGAGGTACTGTATACCACGAGGTAATGTCTACATGTTTAAAAATAGAAGCGGTTCTTGTGACCAGTGAGATCTGAATATCTATCAGGCTGATTTTTATTTTTTTTTTTCGAGTGCGTTGATGCGTCTAAGGATTTGCCAATCTCCATCAGATTCGAGCTTTCGAAAAGGCTCGATTTTTTTTCTTGTTGAAGAGGTTTTATTTACGTATAGGCGCTACACTCCAATTTTCTCTTTATTGTTTTGTGCGGTCATTACAGCTCCCATCGAAGTCGTAAAAATGTCTCGGGTCGCCTTCCGAAATATTGAAGCCTCATAAAATCCTAGCACTTGCGGCTTCAATACGTAGTCAACAATCTCAACCGATCCAGTTTTTCAGTGAAGGATTCCTCAGGCATGGCCATAGCACATTGTTTGAAAACATAAATACCTAAATGAGGAAAAACTTGAGAAGAAGTGCACTATACCTTGGATTATCCGAACTAATATGGCGGTCGGCCGGTTCGGATATTTAAAATTTCGGATAAACCGGAGGCCATTAATATTCATTAATTTTATGCATTGCATTGCATATTGCCTACATTTATGCATGGAGCATTTTGTTGATTGTTTAAAATCAGCATAAATCGACTGAATGCAGGGCCGGATTTACCAATAAGCTACATAGGCTATAGCCTAGGGCGCAACATTTTCAGGGACGCAACATTTTTGAAAATTCATTAAAAAACGTGACTTATTAAAAAATGTCTACCTTGTGGTTGACAAAGGTGTTTTTTTAAAGGTGAATTTGAACATTTTTCGGACACCTAACATCCTCCTTCTGATCTGGAGGGGAGGGGCGTCTGGAGGGGACTCCCCCCCCCCACGAGAGCGCCTACTTTCAGGGGCGCCACCCTAGGTTTAGCCTAGGGCGCTAAAAATGTAAATCCGGCCCTGACTGAATGTTGTAAAACTATTACAATTTAATGGTAAAAAAATTACAATTTTATTGAAATTTTTGTTAATTGCAATTTAACTTCAATACAAGTGAAGAGTTGAAAGGGGTAATGAAAATGATCTTGTTCTGACGGCTAAGAGAAAGTGCAAAAAACGCGTAAAAAATTAGTCCACCCAAAAATCGGTTCGGATAAACCAGGGTTCGGATAATCCGAGGTTAGCTGTATTCACTTGATTTTTTTCAACGCCTTCCCCAAGATTTAATGCGAGAATTTCAAGCCGGATCCCAGTGATTAGTCGAAAAAATTGGACTTAGAAAAAAAATTACAAACGAGAAAGGCGACAAAATCTCTCAGTTCCTGAGAGTATAGTAATTTCTAATTTTGTCGTCTTTCGGTGATACAAGAGACAGCAGCTTTAATTAGTCGAGTTAAGAGAGAAACCAAACACGAAATTTGGCTTGGAACTGCGCGGCGCAGAGAGCAATGATAACGAGGACTTGAGATGAAAAGGAGAAGTCCATGTCGCGGCAGTTGGCATGCAACACATATAAGCGCCTACAAGACTGCATGAATACTTCACGCAATGCGTCAAACACAGCGCGTTTAGCAGCGTTGGCCGTGGCGTGAAACTCATAGCGCCTACAAGACTACACGAATACTTCATGCATTGCGCTGAACACAGTGCGGTCAGCGCGGCGCGGTGCGCAGAAGTTAAAATTATTAAACCACATTTATGTTTGTTCTTTCATAAATTTGTCGTTCATTTCTTGGAAGGCCTTCTCCACCCAGAAATAGGTTTACGGAACTTCACTTTCGCGCAAAGTTCCGTGAACTTTTGCTAGTTGACAGGGCTCTCGCAAAGAATGTGTCCAACACGAGTAAACGCGTCTTATGCACCCCTCCTCCTATGGCATGTTCACTTGATGGTTTTTATTGAGTCCGATCTTAAATCCTAGTCCGACTTCTCCCTGTGTGTCAGAGAAGGAGAGGTAGAAGGATATATATATTAATCATTAGCAATAGCGAAGGAGAGGTAGAATAATATATACATAAAGTAATATAGTAAAGTAATATATCAGGGGTTCACTTGTGTACCCCTGAGTGTAAAATCTTTGTCTATCACTTTTCCTACATCAATTTCAAAACTCACGCCGCTGAAAGCTCATTTAAGGGTGAAATCCTTACCCAATTAGCCCTAGCTTTTAAATGAGCTTTCCAGCTGAAATAAGCATGTAAAATGGGCTTGTTTTTGACGTTGATAGACAATAGACATACATTCCACACTCTGGGGTACTCAAAACTCGGAGCCTGCCCGCGAGTGAAGGTGTCAAAGATTTCAGTTTATAATGTGCATACGGCTGAGTGATTTCTGATATTGATAGACATAAATGCATATTCATTTTAAAATGTAAGCGATGAAAAGTCTTCAATATTTCACTGAGGATATTATTTCTTCCCCTTGTTGGCTGTATGCACGTGCATTTTAATGAGTGCGGGTGACCCAGTGACTCAGTGTATCCTGTTCGTCGTTGCTCTACCAGTGACTCAGTGTATCCTGTGCGTCGTTGCTCTCCCAGTGACTCAGTGTATCCTATGCGTCGTTTCTCTCCCGAAACCACTGTTCATCACGCAAATGGACGCATTTATGCTAAAAGGAACTATGTGCATAGGGCTTGCGTGCAACATAGTTCCTTTTAGCATAAATAGTCCAAATAAGGGCACTCCTTCGGAAGTTGCATCATATATGAAAATGTTAGGTACTTGTTACAGGAGTCGCAGGTCAATAATCTGGCTCGGCGCTTGGCTCTATATACGACGCGACGGAACAAGCGTCTCGGCGACAGAGAGACGCGACGCGCGGCGCGTCCAAGTAATAAACCAAACCCTTGCCACGGTTGCAAAATCCTTGGGAAACTCCCTTCATATTTCACTCTTACCCAGAAAAAATCAGGTTCAGACACACCAGTCTACCATCTTTCCTATAGGATGTGAAATGTACATCTGGAAGTCGACGCTTGAATTCGCCTGATGATGACTTATACATGCCCGAAGGTTTGAGCAATGGAGAATTTGCATAATTTTTATTGCTTCATCTGAAAAAGCTTAAAGATCTGATTTCACAGCATTTTTCATTATTTTTTTTCTGATTTGGGAAACAGTATTAAAATAGATTTAAAAGTGAGAAAATGCACCGCCTAGTGACATCATCTGGCGGCATTTCCGATTTAAACACATGTATTATAGCAGATTAGATCATTTTGTCACATCTTCTCCAATAATTGCTTAATTCATGAACCAAGGGTATCCTATTGTTCAGTCCTCCTATTAGTTTCCACTTAAACACGGAATTCATCAAATTTCAGACACCTACAAATTCTCTATTGGTTTGCAATCATAGCCTGATGTATAAAACCTGGCCCAGCGAAGTGCTCTCATTCCTTTTAGCTTTTCGAAAAATTGTTGGAAAATTCATTTCTCTAAATTTTGCCAATTTCTTGGTTTAGTTTGATTCTTTATAGGGGCTATCATCCTTTTTTTTGGCTAAAAATTCAAAATCTGCCGAGATTCTTCAATATTTCGCATACTACCTCTAACACGCCGCAGAAACCGTGATGAATCACCTTGATGCCGTTTCTGGAGCTGGGCACGCATTCTCGATTAAAGAGAAAAATGGTCTAAAAATCTGAGGAAGGGCGTGAGTCACTTGAGGCACTGCACTGCATTACAAGACATGGTCGCATACAAAACGCAGCGAATGCGCCCGGCATGCCATCCATGCTCCCGCAATCCTCTCATGTCCTGGACGCCGGCCAATACACGCTCTCAGTCGTCACGTCACCACAGAGATTCTTCATTTAATCCTATTGGATCCAAACAATGACGATGACGTAACCTTTTTCAATGCAACCAATGAGCATATATCGATATATATCATTTTTTTGCGACATAACGCTAATAGCTACTGTGCTCTTGCATTGTCTTTGTTTTGTGGTGTCATTTGGTCGGGGCAGGGGGCGGAAATACCCCCCCCCCCTCCGCGTTTCAGAAGGCCTAGATAAGTGAGAAAAATTGATGGAATTGCTGAAAACTTGATTTTTTTCTTTACTTAGGTATCATGTTAGGGGTTATGTCAGGTCACTCCTCCCCCCCCCCCCNAAGATATTGGTGAAATGACGTTACTGTTCGTGTTACAGATTGAAGTCAACGATTTTCTGTTGGGCCCAGCTTGGGAAATTCCCGTTCGATCACCAAAGGTGTCAGCTCATCCTCGACAGCTGTAAGTGCCTCGCATCCCTCAAAATCACCCCCGACGGCTCAAAAATGTCTTGCTCCTTTCGCAAAACAAACTCAGTCTTTCAGCGGGTCAGTTTTCCCAAAAAATTGATCCGCAAATTAAATGATAAGATCCATCCAAACAACGAGTTACCACGTCAAATATTAACGGAGATGTCGACCTCCAAAAAACACAGCGTATGAGGTCATCCACTATGGATTATCGATTTTTTACATTGTTTTACGTAGAAATGTGTATCACTGATTGGTGAAACCCCAAAGTATAAGAGACATCATACGAGGGCAAGCAAGAATCTCTCAACCGAGGAAATGAGAGATCTCGTGGTTCAATATACAGCGTGATAAACCCATTAAAGTAATATGAAATCATAAAATTGTAGAGATAATCTACTAAACCTCTTGATCATAGAGTTACTTTATTTTCAGGGAGATACAGCAGCGAAAACTTGATTCTCCGTTGGGAGCTCAACGAGTCTGCAATCATCCCAGAGGACGTTCGCTACCTTGGTGATTACAAATTGATATCCATGACCCCAAAAAATGGTCTCATTCCAACCCTATCGAAAAAATCTACCGCTTACTCCCCCAAGGGTAGGTAAGATTCCAAAAAAAATCATTTTTCCCCCAATAAGATACATAATTTTTCTGCAGCATTTTTCATAAACTGAGAGAAAAAATTCTTTTAAACTGTGCTACTAAAAGCAAGCGCAGAAATGACGGGTTAGGGTGTCCGGTACCAAGTCGGCAGTCACAAGTGGCAGGGGGTTACGGAAGACCTTTGGCTTGAAAATGGAAATGGTCTCAAACGACGCAAGATCATTTGCTTACCTTTGCTCAGCCGTTAGTTTTCGTTGTTCAACCCCCCCCCCCCCCCCCCCC